GTGAGTGGAGAGGGTGGAGCAGGAAGGGAAAAGATGCGCTACGGTTCCCCTCGCTCCGAAGTCACCACAGAAGACCTCTGCAAGGATTCAGAGCCTGAATGTCCAACGAAATGAATATCCAATTTTGTGAAGAATTTGTCTTGGTTCCATATTTGTCAGACAAGTGATTCATTGAATTCAGATAGCCTCATGCATTTGAACTTGTTTTTCTGTTTATTTTTTTCATTTTTACTTAAATTTCTTCCTTTATTTTGTTTATTTACATACTTTGCTGGTGCTGTTTATTTCTGTCGTAAACCCGACATCACACCCCCTACATAAATATAAGAGGGCGCTCTCTCACCCACTTTGTATGGTATTTGTGTGCGTTTAGTCCCAGAAAGTGTTTGCCAGCGCCACTTGTTGCCAAGAGGCAAGTGTGGAACTCTTTTTTTTTTTTTTTTGCCAGAAAGCCTCACAAGGCATGTGATTTTTAATGAGGTGTCAGCTGACCGATAAACCCTTAGATGCTAACTAAAGCATCAAGTCTGCTGGGTCAAAGCTCTTGGTGCGAAAGTGTGAAAGAAGAGTAATTGTTCGAGGGGCTCGTATATTTGTTGGAAAACCAACGGCCAATTTAGCCAAATAAAGCGTTGTAGACATTATTTGCGGCTGTTCTAGAGTGCAACTCTTAGGCGTTCGTTCCTGTGCTGAGCAGTGCCGCCGTCGCCGGCATATCCGATAGGCAAAAAAAAAAAAAAAAAGCAACAGATAGACTTAAAAAATGATAGGGAAAAATGCCCAGTATGGCATGGGTTTCAATCGGAGCCTTCTGGGTGGCAGTCAAGCATTCTACCATAGAGACACCCTAGTCCTTGAGACTCACTGGCAAAAACCCTATACCGGCTTCCCGTCAAGCAAGGAATCGTATTAACCTATGTAAAACAGCGTGGCACAGGAGTAAAATAACAACCAGTCATCACACGAGGCACATGTGTGGCAAGCATGTGTACTAATGCTTCCCACCCACTGCAAAAAGCTCAACCATAATTTTTTGCTGCCATCGGCGACATGCAGCATAAAAAAAGGAGCCCATAATAACTTACAGATGTAGAGCAGGTATCTGCAGAAAGACGGCAAATAAATTATGGTACATGACATACCAAGCAGAGACAGCCAAAGAATAAAACACAGAGTGCCTTGCCCCAACACACAATTTACATTTGGCCCTATTATATTTTCCAGTGAAAGTTTTCCCTGCAGTGTAATAATAACAATGACCCATTTTCAAAGCAATTCAAGTAAACTAAAGATACCCTTTCCATTGATGGGATCCAAACCATGCAACCTAATAACTACGGCTGGTGCGCTGCCAAACACTGCCAGGCGTAGAACTCGCATAGATACCCAACAAAGTGGACGAGGGAGCACCCTATGTCGTAGTTTAATTTAGCTTAAGGGGGTATATAGTAGGGTAGATCGACCAAAAGAGCGATTTTTTTATTTGCCAACTAAAAAGAAATATTACCCACTCTGAGGATCAGTTTCGGAGCCTAATCTCAGACGAAGGGGCACTCCCCAAGGGACAGTTATCTCCCCACTTCTTTTCAACATAGCCATGCGCAAGCTGTCAGAAAGCCTTTCGGAAATTCCTAATGTAAGTCACGCTTTATATGCTGACGACATTACAATCTGGTGTACCAAATGATCGGAGGTGGTGGTCGAACAAGTCCTACAGGAGGCTCTGGACATCGCAGTCTTTCTTGGAGGGTACGGGACTGGTGCTTTCGCCGGAAAATTCAGAGCTCGAGCCTGCTGTACAGACAGGCTAGACGAGGTGCCAGAGGACTCACCCCACTTGATCAGGTGCCCATTAACGTTTGTACCAAGGATGGTTGCACATTCCCTAGAGTAGATTCTGTTAAAATTCTGGGGATTTTATTAGACTGCAACGCGAAGACTACAGCACAACTCATGACTAAAACAGAGAACATTATGAGTTTAATTAGGCGAGGATATCCTCCTAAAGGCTCACGACGCTTTTCTCATGAGCCATATTATTTACGTAATTGTCATTCTCAATTGGACCAAAACAGAGAGGGACAAATTGGATACACTCATGCGTAAAAGTTTCAAAAAAGTGATCGGTGTCCCAACCACGACTAGCACTGAAAAGCTCATAAAGTTGGGAGAGCATAACACCACTTCTGAATTACTTGAAGCACAGAGGTCAGCCCAAATCATTCGGTTATCAAATTACAAAACAGAAAGACGACTGCTAGATGCGGAAGGTCTTCGTCCTATCTTTATTCAGAGAGAAACCGCGCAACTGGATCACCAAACAAGGAATAAACTTATTGTTGACGTTTTTCTAATAAATGTAAATCCCAAATATAATAAAGGTCGTAGATTAGCGATGGCTAGGGCTTTCATACAAAAGCTCTCCGGAACAAAAACATTTGTCGATGCAGCACACCACGCCAGCGGCAACAAGCTTTCTGTGGCAGTTGTCAATGACAGAGGAGAACTCTTGGCCGCTTCGGTGTAGACCTCCTTGGTCGATGTAGCAGAACAGACTGCTGTAGCACTGGCATTGCTGGACCCAAAACGCACAATGGTCTACACCGACTCCCGAGCGGCTGTTAGAGCATTTGCATTGGAACTGATAGCCACAGAAGCAGCCAGGATTCTCCGCGGCAGACCCACTTCCAACATTCTTCACCACATAGTCTGGTTTCCAGCTCACATGGGACCAGACGTACTACCGGATCACCTGAACCCAAACGAGGATAGCCCACGACCATGAGCGAGGTTTCACATGCCGCGACGGGCTGGTCTCCGCGTGAGTTCAGGAGAGCTCGTCCGCAGCAATCCTCTCGTTACCTTCCACTAGATAACATCTCATTACAGAGGAGAGTGACAGACATTTCCCTTTCCTCATTATAGGATCCATCGATCACAAGCAAACACGCTTCGCATGCTCCAGACGGGGTCTTACCACTCCAGGGGCTTTTTGAGCATGCTTCATCCGGAAGTAATCCACTTTACCTAAATTGTGGTGAATATTGTTCTCCAAGTCACATGCTCTGGCAGTGCCCTGCATTACAGGACTTTAACCCAGAAGTGGACTGGACGACGGCAATCACAGACCCCAGACAAGACGCCCAGCTTTCGACTGTCCGGAGGGCGCGTGAACGTGCCTAGAGGCATGGCCTATCTGTTTTGACATGAGACTAGCCGACGGATGCGTGGGGAGCTACTTAATTGGCCGACTGCCTGGCCTCTTAGGACGAAAATAAAATTGTTTGTCTGTCTATCTGTCACTCTGAGGAGCAATACCATGCATTGGCGAGTATGTAGGAGTGCTGCCAGCCTTTTAACATTGCTGCCAGAGGCTGCCCCTACCGAAGAATATGTGGGCTCTTTTGTTTCAGTGCTTCTGCGTGTATGCATTTTAAAAAAATGGCAACTACGGCTAATCGATTGAATATAAGTATTTGCTTCCAACCACTTTTAAAATTTTTTGAGCATAAAGATTCCCATCAAAATACATTTCTAGCAGGTGTAAGCACGTGTCATTAAATATAAGGGCATGTTATTCTCACGATCAGTTGACTGAAAATTTTTCAAACTTGGTGCACCTTTCCTGGAAAAATATCTAACTCGTCGCGCTCAAATTATCTCACATCTGAATTTCTTCCACACTGTCTCAAGCCAGAACTTCAGAAAACTGTTGAGGGAAAAAAATATTGGAAAGTCTCCCTCATGGCATGTAAAAAGTGGGGGCAGTATTTCTTTTTCTTGTGAGGTAAATATGAAAGTTTCTTTTTATAGGTTCGTATTAATACCAATATCACATTGAATAAGCGCGCCAAATATCATGACCATACTGTTTTTCGTTTTTAAGAAAAGTACACTAAATTTCTTGCACCAGCCTGAAGTTCAGTGATCCACCAACAGCAAGTAAGAAAAGCAGCACGGTCTAAATTTTGCAGACTGAAGGGCAATACATCTTTGATTAAGCACCCAATACTTCCTGACAAAATATGGTACAGTTCTGGAGATTTAAAACTGAAACGAGATAACTTGTTTACTCTATCATGCCCGGGGGGGGGGGGGGGGGGGACACGGGTATTAGAAGGCCAAAAGTCGCAAAAAGTCGACTTTTTGAAGTTGACATTTTTTGAAGTGGACATTTTCGGAATCTGTGCCTCTTTTTGCACCTATCTGAGAAGTTTCTAGCTTCTGGCGTCATTATTTCTGGCGCAAAATCATTTCATAACATCCCTGTGAGATGAATGTGAGCGCAAATTGACGCTAAAATCGTGCTTTGTCCGCGCCCAACTGTTGCCGTTACGCACGAGCTATCGTGTTCATTTTGGTCTTGTTTGGAAAAGTCGTTCTTCATTTTCAAATTCCCGCCACCGCTGGCTCACCTTGCTCATTAATATTCAGCAAAAACGCGTCATCGAGAAGCACTATTGCGCGATTTTATTAGCTGCTTGGGGCATGTGACAAAACCTAGGCATCCAATTGGCCAAGTGGCGTTTCCAAAGTCTGATTCACGATCATGACGCGCACGGACATGCGCCATTTTGTCGTGGTGCTGCTGTCCTGCCTGCGGCAGTAAAAAAGTTCCGTGCTACAGTAATATGTGAAGCGGGTGTGGCAATCGTTCGTTCGCTGTGAACTTCAGAAAGAGCCCCGCTATGGCTCAGGATAACAATAACAACGAACTCGCCGCAGAGTCACTGGTGTAGGCCTAACTCACGTACGAGCCCGTTGGTTACCGGCAACGTTACTGAGAGCGGCTTTATTCTACAGCCTCATCAGTTGGAGGACGGCAAGTAAAGAGCAAAAGTGAAGCTACGAGAGATATCAATCTTTGTAGTGACGGAACGGAAGCGCAGTCTTATCGCTAAACGCGCTGATGCCGTGGTTCTCCCCGCCTGACGAAAGGACCTTGAACCACGCGACGGCTCGTCAGAGTAGAGTACGCTCCCGTCCACAAACAACAGAAAGTCAATCCGTTCGCGGTGAACGTGTGCACCGTAGACTGCTTTTAACGACGTGTTCGCAACGTTGTCGCGGTCTCCGCTCGAAAATGCAGCAGTCTTACGTGAACAGGAAACTTTACACCTCGGCACTCATGTAGCCAGCAAATGGATGAGCGAAGGAGCAAGTTTGGTTCGCGACATTTACGGGTAACTCATTCTGGACAAGCTGGAACACATCGCCGTGTAATTCAAAGGATCGTGGATGACGCGTGCACATTCGTCGCACATCGCCGTCAGTACAGTGACCGACTGATAAGCGGCCTTGCGGCAGACGAGCACACGGCGACAACTTGCTACAGGACTAGAAACGACACACTCGTGAGAACAATCAGTCCTATTACATTCCCAGTGCGCATTAACTGTCCAAAAGTTCGTGTGCCAAATGTTTTTCACTTGGAACAGCGAAATAAAGATTCAGCAGCATTTTTCTCGAAGCACTGATTTGGACCACTTTCTTTTTAAAAGTGGACCTAGGACAGCCAGAGCTGTAATTGTCTTTGCACAATGTAGCTAAATATGCACAAAAAACAATGCTGAGAGCCGATTTTTAATGGGCTGCTTCATTTTTTTTTGTCTTAATATAAAAAAATGTTTTTGGTTACATGCAATGAACTTTATTGTGTTGTAATCCCAGAAGTACTCGTTCAATGTTTGATCAGCTTGCTGCATTGCACTTTTTAGGCATTCAAGTATCTATATATGTTAAAGACTATGTAATTTTAAGTACATACATTTTTACGGTTAAAAATGTTAGAATTCTTTGTGTTCTTGATATTCTCAAAATAGCAATTTTGTACACCCTGGATGAAAATTCCTGCAATATATCAGAAACTATTACAGATAGCAGACTAAGTTTACTACGCCAAGCAGCCCGTTTTCGTGCAATTTCGGTTTCAGTTTCGCAAGCGCATCCAACATGTACTTTTTCGCGCGATAACCATGCAATATATCTTACGTTTATTTGGGAGAAAATCAATCAACTGTTTATTTTTTTTTAAGGGAAAGAACGCGAAGCTTCTTTGATGCATTGAGATTTATTTTAAAAAAAAAGGTATGGACGAGCAGGTACTGGGCGATCGGAACAACGCAAAGCAAAGAAACGATTTCTTAAGTTTCAGTTCATACTTGGTCGGCATCGTTGTTTTTTTCCTTTAGCGACGCAAGAACTTTCTGGAGACGTTCACGTAATTTTTTCTTTTTTGAGGTCGCAAACGCAACGATGGGAAGCAGAAATCTTGGCACCGATCAGAAATGAGCGGGCCTCTAACGTTCGTAAATCCATGTGGGTGAAACACTATCTTTACTCAACCAACAACGCTGTTTTTGCACAGTCAACGAAGTATTATACACTAACGCGTTGGTTACCCAAGCAAAGCGCAAGGAATGACTTTCTTCGTAGACGCCGACAAGAGGGGCGTTTTCCAGCGTTATCGTGTCAGCAATACCGTATTTACGTGCATAATTTGCACACCTCTAATATTTTGCTAGCTTTTCAAAAACAATATTTACTTGCATATTTCGCACTCCCTGACCCGCCCGAGCCCACTCGCTGGCGTGCGCACCTTTGGACGTTTCGATGCTTCGGTCGGGTGCGCGTCTCGTCGAGCAGATGAGCGGAGTTGAGCAGGCTGCTAGTGCGAAGTCTCTTCTTTTGAGGACTTCCCCCGAACTAGGGTCCCTACAACACGACACCCGAACAAAAACCTGTTGACGGGTCGCCAGAACTGCTCGAGCGTTTGTCACTCCGTATCTCCCAATCTCTACCACCACGATAATGGCAACAATGCACGCTTGTGTCATGGCATGGACGACTTTCTGCATCAAAGGTGTGCAAGGGCGTGTTGCGCCAACTGTTCTCCTTGTTCTCTGCATCCATGCTGCAAGGCACACTTGGTTGATTTCGGAAATTAGACTTCGCCATCCGGCCGACGTGTTTTGATGGTTTCCTTGATATGTGCTACACTAATTATATATACAGAGAAATTGAAGCTTGCTGTTGTAAATTCGCCGAAGAAAACGGGAAGCCTGCCACTGCAAAGCATTTCAAGGGGACATACTTCAACGTTACGACCGGGATGATCGGTACGTGAGAAATCAGTAGTGTGCGCGGTTGCTAATGCAAGTTTCCCGTCATTGAAGAAGGTCTTTTCAACTATGTGTGAATGCTGAGTTTTTCCGGTATCATCGTGTCGTGGGGTACATAGTTCCTTCCAGCATTGTCGAAAGATTTTCAAGAAAATGGGGCGCTCGGACACGCTCGGCCGAACCAAGGATGATGCGCTTCGAGAGGGAGGTGGCAGTGACTTTGCGATACGTGATTCCCGTTAGACCGGATCTGACTGGTTAAAGTATGTGCTAATTCCTTTAAAATTAACAAGTATGCTTCATTTGTGCTGCAATTTATATCTTCTTTTTTTAAATGTATACATTGTGTGCAATAAGAATCTGACGCACTATTTCTTTTGCGCTCGCGAAATCCCCGCACAACTTGCACAGCCCCGAGATCGTGAAAAAAAGTGCACAAATTATGCGAGTCAATACGGTATTAGGCAGCCAAAACACCGACAACGTATGCAATGCAATTTAGGAAAAGGGACATTCGTTTTACGTACGGTTTCCAATTGCACTTTTTCTTCCAAGCAGCTGGTGTTGCTGAAGACTGGCAAGTAGCTGGTGTCACTTTCAAGGCGGCTATTGCGATTAGAATCCCACTTCCAGTGATGGTATCACTCACACACAGCTTCTCGGAGATCGCATGCGCGGGAAATAAACTATTTGACAATGCACCACTGTCTTCATTTCTCTCTGCTCGATGAATACTGATCACCTAATGAACACATGCTCGTGCTCGCTCACAAGCTTCAATGTGAACTTGCTTCAACCGAGCGACACCATCGTTGTTTACCACGGCAGGGAAAAAGTAAAATGACACCAGAAAACTAGAAACAGCGAAGAACAAAAGACCTGCACGAGTGAAGCTTCCTAATAATAATGCCAACAATCTTGAACAGAATATTTACATATTTTCTTTATAAATTTGCCATTATGCTATGCAGTATACAGAAGTTAGCGTGCATGAACTACATGCCGAACTGTAGTAAAGAAGGGCGTGCTTAGGCTTTATAGCCTTGGCTGTGCTGCCACAAAAAGTTGTCGGTGAGTATAGGAAACCAAAGATGAGCCTTTGGCACCACTGTGTTTGGCTGAAAAAATGAAACAATCAGCGTACCCAAAAAAGCAGCCACATTTTTTTTTTCACAACTTGTGGGCGAACATCCGGGCGTCAAATCCTATCCACACGTTGCTCTTACTTTCGTTGGACACCACAAAGAGCCATTTAGGCAAATTTAATAGCTCAACTTGTTACACGCAAGTCATGTCATTAAGAAAACGGCCAATCGTTGAGAACTCATGGTGATCAGGATGCCACATTCTACAACAGTTCAACAAGAAGCATGCGAACAGAAGAAAGATGTAGATATGTTCAACTTTAGTTGAAGCAACAAGTGACAGAGGACCACATGAAGGTTTTATAAGCATAATGATAAAAAAATGATTTGCTGAACAAAATGTCCACAGCTGGTATCTGTAGGCTTAGTACCGTCTGAACTGCTTCTTGAACTTCTCAAAGTGAAAGTCATCGGTGGCTTTTTCATCATCATTTGCTCTACACCTGGATGATCCTTTGGCACCTGCACAATAAATACGCATTGTATATGAGCATTCAAGGCCTCATCAACACGGAACTGAGAACCAAGACAACTGAGAACCAAGACTGCATTTGTTTTGCATTGTACCGACTACAGTGGTTTTTTTTTTTGCATGCTAACTTTGCCGTCAGAGGGGGTGCGAAAAAAAGAATGAGAATAGAAGAAAGGCAGGGAAATTAACCTGGGCTAAGCCCCATAGGCTACCCTGTACTGGTGAAGGGGAGATATTAAGAGCTCTCATACACCTACTGTTAGGAATTTTGCTACAAAACAGGGGTCTTGAACATGCGGCCCAGCCTGCACATGCCTGCCCTAGTGCCATATATTTTTTTTCTTTTATCAAGTGTGTTCATAAAGCTTCAAACCACAATGGACAGCTTCCCACACCAGAAAGCATCGGCCAGAATTTGTTTTAGGAGGAGGCACTGGTGGGGTTTCATAGGCAGCATTGAAGTGGCTAGATGGGGCAAGTGTCTCCTTTGCACCCTCTCCCCAACCCCCATGAGTATTTCACCAACCCCCAGGAACAAGGCCAATGAATAATTTCTCTTCGAATGTTTTTCCTCAACAGATGGCTACTTAGAGGCCCGTGGTTGGCAAAAGCCACGCGTCTTTTCGCAAGAAAAGAGCCTCTGGTGACGTTGACATCTTCCAGATCAGAGTCCTGGTTTTAATCATTGTGGAACTTGGTATGTTTCTTCAATCCTGACATTTTTATTCAAACCCCCTCTTTCCCCTTGCTCCAATGTTTTTCACTGTCCTAGCCCTCGTGGGACTAAACTGCGTAGCAGTGACGGTGGCCTGCTAGCAAAGGCGAATTTTAGACTTCCGCTTAAGGTACTGACAACCTTGTAGCATATGATTAAATTATGGTTGAAATTACACGCAAAAACCACATGTAACTTATAGAGTCACCTTTCAAAACAAATAAGTACAAGCCATTGTGCAGATATTCAACTGGCAGCAATAAATACTTAAGGTTTTTCAGTCATGTTCAAGAAAACAAAACATGCAAAATATAAATAGACCAGTCTGACACCCATTTTAACATGGCTGAAATCGCCTGAAATGAAATCAAATTGCATTAACCACCGAGATAAGTTACTGCCTACAAACAACAAGCTAGCTAAATTGATTGTTAAAAATCCGAAAAATCCGCCGGCAACTGTAGTGCATCGATACCTTGGGATTATTGAAAGTGAGAGAGGAAAAAAAAAATCTGCAAAAATTATACAAGTTAGTGGCTAAACCACCCAAGCACTCTTGACAGCCAATAATACATTAGGCTATTGAGAATGACGCCTCCCACGTCTGCCATCTCCCAGAAAGCTAAGCTCGTCTTCCAAGAATGTAAATGATAGTTTATTGATTCCCGCACCGGGTTCCCACACCATTTTCTCAGCTTTGAAAATAATCTTTGTGCCCTTGCATGACAGCAGGATTTTAAAACTGAGCCTTACAACCACATCTGTGACATATTGTGCCAGGGAACCTTCATTCATGTTGCGAACATTACATGCATGTTTATGCAAGTGCCTAATGTCTGCCTGATGTAACAAACACCGCAGGATAACAAAATACTGTAAACTGCATCAATGGTACATTTAAAAAGCTTTTTTTTTGCTTGGCTAGGCAGAAGCATTTCTGCTTTCTGTCAAAGCTAGTCAACACATCAAGCTCATAGAGCTTGTACAGTGTCAAAAGACCACACGTACGCATATGCACTTGAAGAACTTTTTAATGCTATGCCATACCCGACACACACATGGCATGATTTATTATCACCACTTTATTTTCTTCTTTGGAAGGATTCAGCCACTAAAGCAAGAAGTGAATAGAGGCAACCCAACACCTTAACGAAAATTCCTACCACTCTTCTCATAGCTGTTCTCTTTAATATCCCAATAGAAAGCGTACCATTTGAATTTTCCAAGCTTGCAACAGTTTCTCCGAGAAGTGCACAAAAATGTTTTAGGACAGAATATTTTATTTATGTCATCTCTCTAAACCGTGCAGGGATGCGCACAACAATGGTTGCTGGATGCGATAACAACTGGGGTGGTGTGAAAGTTGCAAACTGGAACAGGCAGTTTTTGCAGAAATAATTAGGGGCGATCCCCCGAGAGACGGAACATGCATGCACTGCCTAAGCATTTGTTTAGTCAAATTTTTTTAATGCTATGTATGCAAACTCAAAGTGCATAAAATTGAAAATTTCTTTCCCTAAAAGGTTTCTCAGCCATTAAACAAATATTTCACGGTCGCGGTGCAGGTGTCCCTTTACTGTTTACCACAGAATTTTCCTATTTCACAGCAGAAGTTATTGCCAAAAACCTTTCCTGCTGGTAACCTTTTTGCTACCATGAAAAACTAAGAAAATTGTACCAAACTTCCTGAAAAAAATTTTTTTCACTCAGTTTGAAGCCCTTCTTTTTCTGAACAAATGTGTACTGCTCCTTGAATACAATGGGGTTCCTTTACAACACTGACCGCATTAAAAAAAAAAAAAAAAAAAAAAAAAAAAAAAAAAAACTCAAAGGTGGCTTCACTGCATGGCAATATAATTAAAAATGGCAATAAAATGAAAACCAAAACAAAAATGGCACAGCATGAACAAGTGTCATGAAACACAACTGTGACAAGTATAGTCACCATTGGTTCCAATGAGGTTAATTTTTATTCAAGGCAAGTCATCGGTCCTTTTGGTACAAAATCTCATGCATGATTATACTCATCCACGAGAGCAAAAGCCTGCATCACTGTGAATCAGGTTCATCTCAAATGCTGCTCCCAAAAATAAATGAAAATATAAATGTGAAAAATTGGCAAACCCTTCCCAAATCCGAAAATCTAGACCTAACTTTGTTGCTTCCGGTGCATTTCCTACTCAACACAGGAACTTCAAAAATGCATGAAGTACAGAACAAAGCCTTCGCAACATTCCCGCCTTTAAACAACACAAAAATAGTTAAAGAAACAATAATTTTCAAAAAAGACCTTTTTCAAAATATGCAACTTTAAGAACTTCAGTCCATATGAATGCTTGCGTTCATGCAACATAGAACGTGTTGGTGAGGAGCTAAGACACAATGCTTTCGTGTCTTCCATCAGCAAGATTTTCATACCAGCATTTCTCGTGGCAAAAATACAGTAATTAATAATGCTCAAGTGTACTACTTTTAACCCTTTAATGCCAGAATTATAAAACTGCCAGCAAAATAGAAATTGTTTTCATTTTACAGCTTTAAATAGCAACCTTTAAATGATGCAGCATTGAAATGATCTAAAATTCAACTTTAATGCATAATTTTGTGTAGGTTGCGAATTCTCCATATGCCACAGAAGTGAGGACCTTGCAGCAAAAAACGCACTTCGGAACTATGTAACTTGTGTGCCACCTCTTGGGTGCATACACACCAAATAAACAAAATAATTGAAAATAAAAGTTAGGTCACCAAAGCAAAAAAAAAATGAAGTATAATAAAACCTGTTGAACGTGCTTTGCATTTTCCACCATTAACTCCAGAACAATTGGTTTTAGCTTAATATACCTTAGACAAGAGAGCACTAAGTTTGTCATGCTGAAAGCTACATGCTCCGTGAGTACTTGACAGCCGGCATTAAAGGTGGAACGCATTTCGTGACTTACTTGCTCGTAGTTTTTTGGCATGTAGCAAATTCGCGACGTCCAGCAGTAAAGGGCTAAAGCATACTCATTAGAATTCTCCCCCCCCCCTTTTAATGATCAGCAAAAGCACACAGTGAAAAAGAGGGCACCTTCACGTTGTTTCTGCTTCTATCACTCAATGGCTACGGAAATATAGAGTCGACTTGATAGACTACTGGTTTCTCATCAGCCTTCGAAACATCTCGCATACCTGCTCTTGCTTGACCACAAAGTCAATAGTGTTGGTTGGAAGGCCTATGTGACACAGGTACCATATTTACTTGCATAATTTGCAGACTTTTGTTCGCAATTTCGGGGTTTCGAGAAGGGGGTGCGCAAATTACACGGGGATTTCGCGAACGCATATGACATAATGCGCAATAGTCCTAACACACGTAGTATATTCACTAAAATAATAAATTGATGCACAAACGAAGTGAACTTGTTAATTAAACAGAATTAGCACATACTTTAACCAGTAAGATGCGGTCACACCCGATCTAGTCGGAATCACTGATCGAAAGTTTGGATTGAGAATAATCGTCGTGGCCGCTGTCACCACCCTCCTAAAGCGCATCGTCCTCGGTTCTCTTGAGCCTTCGAATGCCCCATTTTCTCGAAGCTCTTTTCGACAATGCTGGGAAAAACTAGGTCCCACAACACGGCGATACCAAAGGATCCAAGTGTTCGACCTTTTTCAACGGCAGAAGACTTGTATCAGCTAGCGCACACTCAGCTTTATCCTGCACTGATTGCGCTCATCATCACACGTTGAAGTTTACGCTGAAATGCTTGGCGGCGGCACAGTTGCAGTTTTCTTCGGCAAATTTCACAACAGCGAGCTTGAACTTTGCCGCATATATATAATTGCCATAGGCCACCGCAACAGAACTGTAAAAACGCAACAGATGAATGGTGAAACCCAAACTTCAGAAATCAACCAAGCGTGCGTTGCAGCGCGGACGCAAGGAACGAGGGGAACAGTTGGCGCAACAGGAGCTCGAACGCCTACGATGCAGTAAGTAGTCTGTGCCATGACGCGAGTGTACATTCTCATGGTAGAGATCAAAGATATAGGGGGAGGGAGGTAAATGCTCGAGCAGTTCCGGCAGGTACAGTGTACTAGGGACCCTAGTTCAGGGGAAGTCCTCAGAAGGAGGAGCTTTGCACTTGCAGCCCGTTTGATTTAGTTTGCCTGCTAGGCGAAACGCGCGTTGGTTAGCTGGCGTGGGCAGGTCGGGAAGCGTAAAATATGTGACTAAAATTTTTTTTTTTTCATAATGCAGGCGAAATATTAGGGGTGCGCAAGTTATGCAAGTAAATACGGTATAAAGCACATGAAGTATGAACTTTGGCACAGTTGGTATAAAGTGCACACGAATGAGCACAATTTGGCCCAGAGAAGTAAATCTGTAGCGAAATGGTGCAAACGGGGCAGTAGGACCACCACAACTGTATCTAACGAGGCACATCACCAGCAGCGATGTCTGTAAAAGCATTGTCATAGTTTCCTTTCTCCAAAATAGGTTTGAGGAACCCTCTGCATAGTGTTATTGAGATATGAAGGATGCAAAATACTACAAAGTATTAACTGAGCTTTGAGCAATCAAAATATTTGTGTTTGGGTCAAGACTGCTTGTAAAATGCTTTCACCCAAAAAGCAAATTAGGTGCTGGTAAAACGTAGCAGAAAAATAAATAAATGAACACCCTTCCCTGCTATTCCTGTTTCTCCACATCAGGTGCCTTGCGTGTTTCTCTAAAAAAGCTTCCACTTCCAAATGCAGCAAAATTTCTTTATAATTGCTGATGCCCATCGCATGACAGAGCTGGTTGAAGATAGTACCTCCTAGGTTCATTTTATGTCAAAACATAAGAAATATCAAGAAAACGCACAAGCCACACGACATAGCTGGACAAGGTAAAAAAAAAAACGGAATGCTGAGCCTCAGTTACCTCTGTTCTGGCGGCCTGGAATCTTGTCTGCAACTCCTTCAGCTTCTGCGATGACCACAACAGGCTTAGGCGGCGGAGGCTCTTTCTCACGAACAGGGCGCCGCATATGACGCGTCCGGTTGCCATCATCGATGTTAACTGTACACAGAAAGAATGGTTGTTTGGTGAAAAACACAAAGAAATCACTTCAAAAAGCCTCAGTTTAGAGAAAAAAGTCACTGCTTTGCAACAAAGGCGAAGCAATGAACGCGATAGCAACAAATTGGAAGGTCACGTGCAGAATGGCAAGCAGATCGAAACGTGCCCCGCGTTTCTCACGCACAAATGAGGCCTGAAACGTACTCACAGGCACAGATAAATGAACACGAATAAGCGTCTCAGTTGTTACTTCGCTGGGTCTGAAAAGCGCGCCCTTTTCCCAAACAGAGACTGTGCAATGATTATAGTGACCTTTGTGTGCCCGGCAACTACAACAGAATCGTCCCAGTGCAAGCCTAACACCAGCCAAGACGTATACAATCCTCCCCACTGGGAGATAAGGGTGCGAGAGAGATCGTCCACTCCCATCCTCTCGGCGGGCCAAAGTACGCGTGAGAGATGAGAGCCACCGTGCACTCATTGCGCCATCTTGCTGAGAATGCTAAAAGCATGATAGTTTCCTCCCGAGATGCCCACCAACTGCGGTAAGTGGTAGATATGAATAGCTTGCCATTTGAACTTTGGAGGAAGTTCCACTCGGTGGCTCAGTGGTTAATGCCTCACATTCACGACACGGAGGTCCCACGTTTCATTGTGTGCTCCAGAGTTTTTTTTCTTAATTTTTTATTTCTTGCATTTTCAGATATAGATATGTATACATATACGGTGCACGATATCGACGCCGACGACAGTGGCGAAATCCAGCCAAGAGTGTCCATATAATTGCTATCGCAATATTATACTAAGCACAGTGCATAGATTGGTCACCCATGTTTAATTCTCCCACAAGGCTTCTCCTCCAAGTAATAACAGATTTCATGAGGAAACTACTCATTGTGCAATTCACTTGGCTCTTTTAATGTTGCAATAAATGCCCTTTCGCATATTTTCACTGCTGTATCCTTTGTTCCTAGCACACTTAAAGATAAAACTATCCTGCAAACACTTTATTTACTACTAATTCTGTTACATTTTATGATAAAGCAGGGTGCGCATTGAAATTCTTGTCATCTTGTAAACCTAAGAGGCGTTTCTGTTCGAGACCACTCCTCCAGAGCGAGTCTGTGCACGTTTGATGGAAAAAATTCAAGGGTATTCAAGGACTTTCAAAGGTGCATCCCACGTTGCACTTGTTTACTACAGCAATGTTTACAAACCACTACAAAGAGCTCCACTGCACTGGAAAAAAAAACATATTGCCTTTTTACTCCACTTGACTTTTCGAAGTACTGTATTTACTTGCATAATAGGTGCACTTTTTTTTCCCCAGAAAATCCGACTCGAAGTTTGGGGTGTGCCTATCACACTGGGTAAAGTTTCCCAAAAATGTTTAGATAAATTTAACTTCAACGACACCAACCGGTGTTGTGAAGCAAATCGCCTCCTGTATTTACTTTCTTTTTGTTTCCGCCAATGCTGAATAAGAATACACTCGTACGCGAGGAGGAGAAATAAATGTTTATTTCATAAAATGGTATCGCAGGGCAAGTTCCGCTTCTACCCAAGGTAGAATATCCTAGACAAAGCTAAGCTCTAGGGTTTCTTGGGCGTGTCAAACACATAATGCATTAAAATCACACTAAATAGACACCCGTGTGCTCAGATTTGGGTGCACGTTAAAGAACCCCAGGTGGTCTAAATTTCCGGAGCCCTCCACTACGGCGTCTCTCATAATCATAGAGTGGTTTTGGGACGTTTGTCACACCTGTCCCGTTATTAGGGAGGCGATCGCCGGGCTAGTTCCAAGAGCCGAAGTATCGGCCCCCCGAACCGCACCACGAAAGCGTAGACAATTTAGAAGTGGTCCTTATTGGTGCGCCAGCGGACGCCGGCTGTGGCCCAAAGAACAAGACAGAGCCGAGAGTTGATAAACAAACAAAATTATATTCTCATTAACGGCAGATCAAAAACAATACACACATATGCACACTCCACAATAGTTACATACAATACGTCACCAAACAGACAATGTACAACACAGTACAATCAACCACACTTGAAACAACGGACACGGACAACAATACGCACTACAATGCAGTCGCATGCATTGAACAACCAAGACACTTAAAGACTAAAGAGATATAAAACCTATTCAGTCCAAAGTCCTTGGAACAAAAGTCTGAATGATACTCTTCCGAGAATCACTCACTCAAAGTCCAGCGTTGTTGTCGTTCCGCAGCTCTCGAAGTTCTCTCCCAGGAAACCTCGCCGGAGTTTCTCTTCCAGGAAAACTCCCGTCTTCAATTGGCCACTCTTCAAACTTCAACTTCTTCGCCGGAAATCCGTCGGCTTCACACACGCAGCTGTTGCCCGCGTCTTCGCTCGATAGCGGTAAACTCACGCTCTTGCCTGTAGCTCGAGCCGTCCCTACGGACCAAAAACTTCGCCGACTACACGGCGGACTCTCTACGCACTCTGGCGCTCACTTCCGTCTCCTCCTGTTCTGTCACTACGGGCAGAACCTTCGCCGACTCCAAGGCGGAATTCCTACGCGCTCTGGCGTTAACTTCCGTCACCACCTGCTTTCTCGTCTCGGCCGCTCGATTAAATACCTTCCGCGCCACTTTCCAGAATTTTCTCGTCCTTTCGTCGGCGCGATACGCAGCGAAGGCTGGAGAGAGGCGAGACGGTTTGTCAGCCCTCCGCGTCGGGTGACTCAGCTCGGCGTAGCCACGCCTCCTTCGTTCTGGAAATTTCTAGCGCTTGCCCGGCCGCCGCTGTGGGGTGAGGAGGTTCGTCTGCGAAGCCGTGCTTCTGCGGGGAGAGCGCGCGCCCGGGAGCCTTGAATGTTTGCTTTCTTTTTTTTTTTTTCTTTTTACCTCGCGGCGTTTCTACCGCCCGTTGTCGCAAGGATTTGGCGGCGCGCTCTCTTTTTAGCGCTCGTTCTGTGACACTGCCCCCCACTTTAAGAATATTATCTCATAATATTCAAAACCACACAAACGAGCGCGAAAGTCACCACACACTCTCACAGACTGTAACACCATCAGTCGCTCATAACACTTCACATTCACAATATATCACTCAATACAATCGTACATTGTAGTTCAATTCCACAACACATGAAATATAGCCACAGGTACATGCCTACAACACTTCATCACACATTCTAAACAATACAACCGTACGAAGTTCTGTCTATCCAACAATTATACAACACCATACATCACACCATCGCACAGAACACCGACTCTCTCGACATACACTTGAGACACAGGATAACAAGAACCTTAACACAACATATGTCACTCAGCCCTGCCGAACACATTCTGATTCCACCTCAGCACCTATCTTGAGTACTTCGAACAGCGCTTGCGCCCCTTTTTGCGGTGCTCGCTCGATCTATTCTTGTGTTTCCACGTTCTTTTTCGGCGAGCCCTTTCCCACGACGATATCTGAGGCGTCGTTTCAGCCATCGTTGTCTCTTCCGACACTGTTAACGCGTCATTACCTTCGACGGGTCCTGTCTGTTTATTTACCCGCTTGATAATGCCTCTACACTTTGTCCGGCTGGCCAGCTCCGTCTCCTTTACACTGTCGGTCGGTTGAGGTCGTGCCGATTTAAGTCCGGTTGCTTGACCCGTGAACTTATTCGACACGATCGTCTTCTCCTTCGCTGTCTCTTGCGCCGCGGCTTCGCCTTGGGCTCTAGTGAGATCCGTCACGGGATGCTCCTCCACTGTATCTCGCGGCCGCTGTGTTGGCGAGGGCTCTATCTTCGGGTCTTCTCCCAAACATTCTGGATCACTTGGCCCTCGCACCCCGTCGATGTTTCCGATGACAAGGTCATACAGGGGGGTCGTCATGCATAACGCAGTAACCTTCCCGCTGAAGTACGGGGTTTCAACCTCAATTTCTGCTTCGGGAAGCATCCGGACCGTACGGTCAATTAGGCAAACCGGTTTCGTTCTGCCTGTCAACTCTCTTTCCCGTACCAAATTTCTCCTCACGATAACCGTGGAGCTACCGGTGTCTCTTAGAACCGTAATCTTCTTGCCTGCAATCTTTCCAGGAAGCGTTGGCATTCCCTTCGTAACACCGGTTGGCTGTTTTGACATTACAGCCCCCACAATAGGAATTTTCTCCCCATTCTTCAACTCTACGAATCCATCAGTGACGGCATTATTATCAGATTTCGGTGCTGCTTGCACACAGGATACCTGGTGAGTTTGACTCACTCCGTTCCGACATGCATCTGCTTTGTGCCCAGTCTGACCACACTTGAAACATTTTACAACCGTAGGGCTCGTAAAGATCGTTCGACAGTTTTTCGCGCGATGACCCACTCGGTTGCACAGAAAACATCGCGGAATGCTCTCTGGTGCACGCTTCTTTTCTTCGGGAGCCAATTTCTTCGAATCATCGGGACAATCTTTCTTCACCTTGGCCAAATTAGTTCCACCTTGCGCTTCTAAGAATTGATCAGCCAATTCAAGCATTCCTTCAAATGACTCCGCCTTCCTCTCTTTCAAATACAGCGACAGGCTTGGGTGGCAACTAGTAAGAAATTGTTCTTTAATTAACAGCTCTCTAAGCTCATCGTACTCCTGTGCTGTCCCTGAAAGTTCAATCCATCTGTCGAAATAATGGCAAAGTCGGGCGGCATAGTGCGTAGCCGTCTCACCATCAGCTGGCTTTCCTGTCCGAAATCTGTCCCGGAACCCTTCCACAGTGAATCTAAATCGCTTCAACAAAGCAGCTTTCACCTTTGCATAGTTGGCTGCATCGGTCGGCGTCAGCCTACCGTACACACTGAGCGCTTCACCACTCAAGCAGGTACTCAAAGCAGTTGCCCATTGATGTTCCGGCCAACTCTGGCTCTTCGCAATCGTCTCAAATCGGTGGAGGTACGCGTCTAGGTCGTCCTTCCTTTCATCAAACGCTACGAGCAGCTTGCTTGGGTTCAAGCGGAAGCCGTGATCCTCTCGTTCGCTGCTTTC